TGCCATTCAGTCATCCTGCTGGGAGCTGCATGCCAACAGCTCCTTCATGAAACTGAGCAGAGTTGGACTACAGAAGGGACCAGAGACCTCAGGCATGGCTCTTTCCCAGTCTTTCTGGCCAAAGCTGGCTGTAGGAATGGATATCCTGATGGGCATCCATGGATTAACTAACAGAAATCATTTGAGCCCCTGCTTAATTCCATTTACAGAAAAGCACTGATCCACTTATGGATAATAACCTCAAATATGACAACAACAACAACAACAACAACAACAATAATAATAATAATAGTAATAGAATAGTCGTACTAGTAGCATAGTATTTGTAAGCATGAATGCAAAAGAAAAATAGGAATATGTAATTTTCAATTATTCAGTATTTTAAAAAAGAATATGCTACTCAAAGAGGCAGAAACAACTATGGATTGTCCTCCTGTAGCTTGCTGTTAGCATGCACTTGGATTCTGTGATACAATCTATAGGACAATATAATTTATGTACACAGATCATCCATCCATCCAGTTCAATAAATCAGACACCGTGCAACTTACACACAAATTCAATTTCTCAGTTCCTTACCTTCACTAAAATATAGCTATGTAGAATCATAAGGTTTGTAGCCATCTCAGAAGAAATTTTAATCTTCTGGGTCTTTAACTCTGAATACATACTGAAAAGAACATCACGTGCATTTCGATAGTTTCCTTAAGAAAAAAAAAGCAACAATTAACAGTAAATTTAATATTGCATAACAATATCTTTATTAATGACATAGAGAGAAGCTGAAGTTATGTTGATCCTTTGAATAAAACCATCGGATGACAATTTCTGTGGAAAGCCACAAGTAGTTGCTTGTCACAGTACCCTAAAAAATACAAGCCAGGCAGTTTAAAAATAAAATTACACTGGGAGAAGTAATCTAAACAGTAGCAAAATATATATGATGGCAATTTAATATAATGAACTTTAAAAGTAGAAGATGTTTTTAGAGCACTTAAAAATGTTTTGGGGTTTTTTTGTTCTTCAAAGTCAGATACTCAAAAGCCACTTTTTAAATGTTAATTTAGCATACTCTTACTTGATCACTTGCTTTGGCAACTCCTTGCCTCTGTGACCAATCAAACTCAAAACCTGTCAAAGGATAGTTAAAATTTGAATGTTACTTCACTAGGTTATATGCTTCAAGGCTGCTATCAAAGATTGTCCTGGAACCACAGGATTTAACTGAATTATCAATGTAGCTGAAATCAAGTAGTGTTGATTCTCTATCAGCAGATGTTTTTATTCTACAGAGCAATTTGTAATGTTTTGTTATATACTACAATTGAATCAAACTATGAAATTTGTGTGAGACAGCTAAATATCACTTCAGAATTAGTTGCTGGAAAGCAACAGGTTTTTTTAATATTGTATTACTGACTCTCAGTAATACAGTCTTAAAATCACGTGATTACATAAAAAAAACTGCAAGGAAAACTGCACTTAAAATGGCATAACCAAAGAAAAATACCAAGCAATATGACTTGAATATTATTATTAGATGGATTTTTAAGGAAAGAACAAACTATATTGGTGCAAATTTCACAATCAAGCTCACTGAAATCTGCTGAAGGAAGAGGGGGTTGATGTAAAACTGCCTCTTCAGAAGAAACAGTTACGGCAAGATTAGTACTTTTAATGAGAAAAACGTTTGTGCTTATTACACTGTTGCAGAACACATTTATACTACTAGGGAATATGAAATTCAGGATGAGATACTGCATTTTAGATACAAGTTTTCAGATTCAGAGAAGCTAGTAAATATTTAAACCCTTGAGCCATTTCCTGCCTCTATAATTAGCACAAATGCATTATTCACTACTACGATGGATTGGGAGATTTGCTTGCCAAGGGTTTCAGAGGTTTTTCCACTCCTTAGCCCAGTGCTGAGGAGCAGCCAAGGAACAGTCCATAAATGTTAATTTGCTTGGGTTATTCCCGAGACTGCTACTTTTCCTTTATAGATTTTTCTTTTGCATAATTGAAATGAAGAGCAAGCAGTGTTATGGTAGGGTTGTTGCCATGGCTACAGAGGAGAGTCAATAATGGAGGTAGCAACTATTTTGCCTCTGGCCCTATCCTTATTTTTTTCTATTTCTAACTTTAGGAACTCATTACAAAGGAAAACCAAGCTCATAGTAAGCATATGTCTGGTCCTTCAACAGAAATCAATTCCTCTGCTTATTTTCCAGTGATAAAAGTCAGGTGCTAAGACTAAAGGTTCAGTACCAAGTCAGAAACCATCTGTAGAAATGGCAATTCTATGACCTGTAATAGAAAGGTAAAGTCATAGGCTTAGTCACTATGTTTATTTGAATGTATAAAGAACACAGATACTTTCCACAAGTTTCTTTTATTCCCAATATTTAATATACAGGTGTGAGTCCACTGGTTTTCTCCAAGTCTAAACTGAACTTGAATATGATTAAAAGCACTGATACATGTCTTCTCCAAGTATAATCCTACACAAATAACAGCACCCTAAGTAGGGCACCTAAGGAGGTAGCATGAGAGATGCCATCACATCAGAGAAAACAGACTTACCTGAACACTGCTCCTCCCTGGCAATTATTATGGCAGTCCTGGCAGCATCTCGGTACTGCTTTAGGGCCATGTACAAGCGGAACAGGTACTTGGCATCCTGAATGAAATCACACAAGAGCAATTAACACTGATCAAATACATACTGCTGTATTCCCTTTCTTGACTTGCTCATCCCCCCACCACACTCCCCAAAGAAAGCAGACAAGCTTGCTTTGTGAAGAGCTGTTTGTATGAACACACTTCAGCTATGCCACAGCCACCTGCAGGGTTTGGCTGCTGCCCAGGCACAGAACACCCACGCCGAGGGCCCGGGGGAGTCCTGGCAGGTGCTGGCCAAGCCCTGTCAGCAGGGATGCAGAAAGCCACAGACCACTATGCACATGGAGAGCTGTACAGGGGGAAACCAAACAACTCCAGCTGTGTGAGCATTTATGGTGTCAGAAAACAACCCAGGGACTCCTTTTAGAAATAGAAGTCTTGCCAGAAATGCTTAAATTGCATTACGGATCTAGAGGTAAACATTGCTTAGTGTGGATGCAGGTGACAAAATCTGATCCCTGATAAATGTATTGCTCTCGGACCAGAAGGTGGACATCCAAGACACTAAAAACTTGAAAATTAGGGGACAACCAGCTAATAAGATGCATAAAATTTATAATTTGCTATACCAGGTACTTTTGATAATTATACAACTCAAGAATGGCAAATATAGCAAAAGTTCATCCAAAAACTGGCAATCTAACAGCAGGCAAAATAATGTAAATTAATTCAATAATTTAAATTTAAATAATTTAAAAACAAAACTAAAAAAGAAGATGGCAGTATTATAGAAAACAAACATGAGCTCTATTTCTGTAAGTGTACTCAAATGTCTAGAAGACTAGTCAAAAAAAGTACAAATGAGAGAAAGAAGAATTGGTCTTTGATAACAAATCAGAGATGCTTTGGTTTTGAGAAAATCCTCAAGAGGTAATTCCTAAAAATACAAAAGAAAATATAGGAATAGAAAAGAAAGAATAGGAAAAGTAAATATTAAAAATGTTCTATTTATTGCTATTAAAGAAGTAGAAAAAATAAAAAGCAAAATAAAATGACCTTGCCTATGTCGAAAAGGAAATATTAAGTGAAGAAAAGCTGGACAAGTGTCACTATTTTATATCATTAGCAGTGATTTCTAGAATGGAGTCAATAAAAAGTAAAGCCTGTACATGATAATCTTATAACTAGTAAATCTGGATTAAATTAAGCTAGATATTGTATATAATGGTACGATTCCAACTTAAATGTAAAAATGAGAAAAAAAAGAAGACACTGGCAACTTTATGGAGAGCTTAGCAAAAATATCCAAACTAATTCTGCAATTAGTAGTAAATCCAAACATTTAAAGTGTGTATTCCATGTTAAAATGGTATAAAAATTACTACAACAATAATTGCATTAATCAACGTTGTGTTATTTTCTGGAATATTGTGTGGGTCTTGTATGTAAGTCTCAGACACAGAAAAAAAAGCAGAAATTCAAGGAACAGAAATATTAAAGATATAAAGATACTTCCTAGTAGAGAAGATGACTGCAAAGATTAGCCTCTACTTGAGGAGCAAATAAAAAATTACAAATAAAAAAAAAAATCACAGAAATAAAAGCAAGAGAGGAAGAATCACATAGAAAGAAAAAAGAGAAGACAGAATCTTCTTTTTTAGCTTGAAATACAAGGAAAAACAGTAAGTGACCAAAAGTAATTACTGTTAAACTAATGATGGAGCAGAATTTTAAGTAACACATGATCAAAAGGTTGAATAATGAAATAGTTATCTGGATAATAAAGTAACTGCAACTACTTATATGAATAGATATTATTTATCCACTGTAAACTGCCTTAAAAGAAAAAATTGCTATTCCCTTAGGGGTTAAATCAAAAATTAGCAAAAATAGTAGGTTATGACATAATCATAATTCTTCCCAACTTCTGACATCACCTAATGGCCACAGATGGCCATTCTGTTGATGATCAGCAGAAAGCAGCACTACTTCCCCATGCAGGCTGCCCCTTTCTCCTGCTGCAGCAGGAAGGGATCTTGTCCCAGCATGGACCAGTGGTCTTATATGGTATTTGCCATGTTCCTAATTATATTTCTCTTAAATAATATATTTTAAATACTTATCCCTACACCACCACCCCCCCCCCAAAAAAAAAAGAAAGAAAAAAGAAAAAAGTGAAAGTAATTCAAGAAAAATCAGTCCCATGTTTTACTTTCATACTCCTACCTTTAAAGCCAGTAAGTTAAAAAGCAGAAAATGCAGGAAAGAATTTTCTAATACATTTCCTAAGGTCTTTGAGAAATTTATCATTGCAATCTGATTTAATACTATTTATTCATAATTTTAGTTTAATTTTTCTTTTTAAAATGTATGTACTCAGAAAATGTGCACACAGAAAACAGCAGAACCTTGCTAGTTAATGTTCCCTGAATGAGCACACATGACAAATTAAGAATCTTTATATGCTGAAGTTAACAAACACAATAGTTGACATAATCACACATCTAAGAAATAGTTTATAATTAGTCAGACAATAGTGTAGCAAAATTTTGGTGCGCACAATGATTTTGATAATATGGCACGTCACTAAAATGCCATACAATTGTTGGCTGCAAAAGATTTAAAGCAATCAGCCTTCTGTCAGTGATGATCTGGTTTGAAGACCAATGATGAGCAAGTTTCTGCTGCATGGCTATTATTAAATTCACTCTTACTTTCAGCTTTACAAACATGCCACGACATAGAAGCTTCTATTTTCTAAAAAACAGTAATATCTTGTTTGATAAGTTCAAGAACAGTCTCCATAGCATAATGAAGATAATAGTTGTTTTTAAAGTGGTTTTTAAAGTAAATATATATGATTTGATAAAGTAAAATTTTGTTACTCACTGAGAGGGACTATGGTAGATTGGATTAAAGCATTCAGAAGAACAAGAGAGAGCTTTTAAATTAGGAAAACAAAGCTCTACACTGAAGTTCAAAAAAATGTTAAGCAATGTTTAAACAATGTTACAGCAATAATGGCATTTAATAAATTCCTAAACCTTTTCTAAAATCTTCAGAATCTCTTCACTATGAAGATCATACTGTAGCTCACTTCCCTTACCCAGTCCCATGGACTTTTTTGAACGAGGCAGCTAGGCTGCTGTTCTGAGAAAAGAGACTGGATGCTACAGTTTCTCTCCACCCAACTTCCATCATAAATATGAAATTAATCTTGCTTACACTGATACTGTATAGATTTTTCATCCAGTGCCTCCAACAGCTTAATTCCCTTTGGGCTCTTGCAATTGAATTCTGTTTGTTTTGCTATGTTTTGCTTCACCCATAATTTATTGAAGTTCACATTTCATATTAAAGTAAGAGGTAAATAAAAAAGAGATAGAGGTTTGGCTCTTTTTTTACCTTTTAAAAAAGCGAAGTTTGCTTGTCCATCAAATGCTCAGTGTCTCTAAAAGTCTAAAATTTCAAACCCTTAATCTATACAGAGAGGAAAGAGAGTTTCCAGTTTCCTAACAGAATTGCAAACCACAGCTGTAATATTAGGGGTGAAATCAACTTACTGCACTGAACTCCTGTCATCTCCATAATTACCAAACTTTATTGCCCTCAGCAAGACATAATTTATTCTTCCATATATATCAGATTGCACCTAACTGTATTTATCATGACTCTGTATGAGACCCTAAATTCCTTGACTTAGGCAATTGACTGCAGACTGCAACACCCTCACCTGAGGTCTGGCTTTCACCACTTAGCTCACATTCCAGGTCTGCTGTACCAGGCAGTAAAACTTCAGGTGGTTCAGCCACTTAGTTCCATGAACTCAAGCCAAAATATGACTGAATATACAATAAGCTCTATTATCATCAAAGTCGTTCAGAATTCAAAAAGGAGCTGCTAATTTTGGAAATCTGTCTGCAACATTTTATGCCTTACACTGATGTTGAACACAAGAACTATCGTAGCCTGGTCAGTTTTGGGGTTTTGACCTGCATCTCCTACTTTGTACCTTCCTTTTTTCCACTGCAAAAGTTAGAGCAACTCTGCTCCTACAGGAAGAGATCAGTGCTGTAACTTGTTTCAAGACATACACATGCTGACTGTCCAGCTGGGAAAGGCAACAGCCAGCTGGCAAATTGGCAACAACAAACAGCTAAGTTTTGTCTCTTATTCTCATTATGAGCATTAATTTGAACCTCCTCTGTCCAACTACCTCCTTTCATAAAGATGACTGAAGAAAAATTATTATATCTAAGATAGTTGCTTCCTTTCTTATATTTCTGAATCTGGAGTTACTGGGTGAATGACTCATGGAATGAACATACAAGTCTTGCTCCTTAACAAAAGCTAAAGCACAGTCTGTGCCTTCTAAGAATTCTAGGACAAAGTAAGCTCAAAATATCTTGTAACACAGAAATGTGACACAATAGCAGTGATAAAAATACAATACCTGGGGCATACCATCCCCCTCTCCCATAAGATAGTCAATTAGCTGATTTGTTAGGACTTCATCTTTTGCTCGTCCCACCTATTAAAAAAAAGACACAATAAATTATGATATAAAAGAAGGGAAAAACAACTTACTCATAGGGAGCCTTTCCATAATACACTGAAACTAGATAGATTTAGAACATTTAGAACATTTTTAGTTCTGTCTGTTCAAATCAGATGATTCTTTGGTTCATCAGCTTTAACTGATGCAGCAGCTCGTATTTATTTTCTAATATGTTAAGTAGGGAGTTTTAGACATGTTTAGATATCATCTTTACTGATAGAGTTTTTCTTCTATTTGCAATTTGCCCAAACACACTCAGTGATGCTGGAAAAATGTCACAATACTGAAGGCAAACTTCTAAAAAAGATGAAGAATTTTTTGTTTAATCAAAGTTGCTTACTGTTTCAATTGCCATTTCCATAGCCAAGTTATCTTCTGTGCTTGGACTTTGCAAGAAGTGCCTTAATGCCTAAAACGTTACAGAAGAAAAGTTAAAATTGAGACACTTGAAACCCATTTTTTCTAATTTTTATCATGTTCTCTCTCTGCATTTTGATAAGACAAGTGGCACACTGAATGCTTATCTCAACTATAGAGGTAGCAGCTGCTCTTACAGATACTCATGCAAGAAACAATTGAGACTGCCAAATTCTGGTGTACACCTTCACTAACTGTGAAAGATATAATATGGTGAGAACAAATCAATGATTAATGTAATCAATGTCACAATGTTTTTAATGTCATGGAGCCCCGCATGCCACAGTTGAAGGAGCTGTCATCTACAGTGGCCATAATTTGCAAAAATCAGTCATATTCTTTTGGTATGTGTTCAGTATGCAGAAGGCAAACATTTAATAAGCATTAGCTCACAGACATGTAACTGATCAAAAGTGTGTCAATTAACATACTTCAATAAACATATTTTCCTTTTTTAAAAAAGCTTTCAGTTAGGGCACGCTACAGTATTTAAATAAATTAGTTACTCTGCAACCAAGTCTCCACTGATCAAGCCAATGAAATGTAAATAAATTGCAGCTGTGGATCATGACATTCAGAGATTCATTGATAATAGTATATCATTGATTAATCTCAAGCTTCTACTACTATGAAAAACTCATATGCATGGCAATGTCTCATTCACAGAACACAGTCTAGATAACTGTAAATACAAATAGTTTGCTTACATTTTTTACCCTTTAAAAATACATCAGTATGTCATCAGTTAAGGCCCTTAAAATCTAATATGAACTTTCCTGTACTTTGAACGGTTTCTATCTATAAACATTTAACTTTCACTGGCTTATCCTTTAAGTACTGACCCGTCCATATTGACCACACAGCAAGAAAAATTTCCCCGCCTGAAAATGTTTCTTTTCTGCTTCAAAATATAGTGCAATGCTCTGATAATCTTCATTGGTCGTACTTTCAGAACCTGCAACAGACAGATCTGAGTATTAGGAGGGTGCTCTCATTAAATAAGGTAAAGACCCTATTGAAGGAACATACTCCTATTCCACTTTGTTTTCCCACTGACATTCAAAGAAAATCAAAGCCAGACAGACTCAAATGATGTCTTACACATTTTTATTCTATTTAATCAGACTACATGTCAGACCTTAGGAGATAATAACATAGTGAAATCATTTTTCCACAGGTTTTACACCATAATGAGATTTCTGTTTTTCACAGGATCATAGAATAATAGAATGATTTTTAAGGGATCTCAAAGATCATCTAGTTCCAACCCCCCTGCCATGGGCAGGGACACCTTTCACTAGACCATCTTGCTCAGAGCTCCATCCAACCCAGCCTTGGAACCCTTCCAGCAATGGGACATCCAGAACTTCTCTGGGCAATCTTTTCCAGTGCCTCACCACCCTCACAGTAAACAAATTTTTCCTAATATCTAATCTAAATCGACTCTCCTTTAGTTGAGAACTGTCCGCCCTCACCCTGTCATTACATTGTCTTCTAAAAAATCATAATGAAATGGCATTGCTATGATCTGATAATGACTTTTTCCATCATATCTTGGCAACAATACAGCAGATCAAGTGATTATGAAATTATCACCTTAATTGCTTTCACAGTTTCAGAATATGGAAGCAAACTTGTATTGTATAAAGCAGGGCTATCAGGGCCAATGCAACCATGTGGTAGCAGGGAGTACTACTTCAGTCTTCTAACCAACATTTTACTCTGCTGTACACATGTAAAAAAAAGACAGCCACTACTCCAAAGTCAGTTTTAAACTCCTTTTCTACCCACTTAGATTACAGTTTGAGACATCCTATTTTGGATAGAAGTAAGAAAGCATAAGAAACTGTAGAACAATTGTTGCCACCTTGACAACCATCTGCAAACACACATCTCCAAGCTAACTGTTGCTAAGCTTTTATAACCTTCATAATAAGAAATCAATATCTAAACAAAGAGATTAATTGCAAATATGAGAATTTGGGAGATACATATGTGAAGCTGATAGGGCACTCTTCAAAGATGCCTCACACAAACAGAAACTATAAAATTTGGTGCAAATTGGCAAGGTAGACTCTGGCTTGATGGCCTAAGATAAAAGCCAGCTTCTCAGTGAGGTCTCCTTTCTGTCTCTCACTGAGACAAGAGGAAGCCACGAAGGGTCTTAAAGAGTAGAAATGGAAAAAAGTGACATGTCAGAAAAGAGCTGGAAACAAGAGAAAACGAAAAGGGAACAAAAATCAAGAACTGTACCAACGAAATGCTCCATTTTGAATCAAGATCAAAGAAAGGGATTCCTCAATGGACACAAGAAAATAGTCTAGACAAACGTTTTATCTCTATGGATAAAGAAAAAAACCTGTAGGACAAGGTAAGATGTGAAAACCAAGGAGACAGCAAAGCTGAAAGCAAAGTCTGGCTTGTAGGCCTGAAGTACACATGTTGCCAAATCTGGCCACGATGACTGGAAATGGGAAACAAAACACCCATTGTCTTATGATTTCAAATTGGTTAAAGTCAACTAAAAGAACAGAAAAACATAATGCAAGCAAACTATGAGCCTGGAATACTCACTGATGATATCAGCATAAATCTCCATCTTATTGTGTTGTTGAGCTAATGTGAAAGCTTCATTATTACACTTGGACATAACCAGGAACTGGATGGCAGAACCATAGTCACCAAGCTGCAGAAAGAATCTAATCAGAATGACAAATTAATACCTTAGTACTAATTAGCTTAATGAATACACCAAATGTTTTAGCAATATAGTACCTATGATACATACAAATATGACACACTTCTAATCCATTTTATATCTTGATTGTTTTAACTAGGTTCCTAAAATTAACTTACTATAAATAATACAGCATGGCAATTATTTATTATTGTCTAAACTTATTAGTTCGGGTTAATATAATTTCAATCAGAAAGCCAACAACAACAAAAAATCAGTACCTGTTTAGTTGTCCAAATCTTAAAGAATTCATATCAATTATTGAGTTATAGTCACTAGCCAAGTACCAATAACCAGAGTCTAATATGTTAGCAAGCCTCATAAATTCCCAATAGATAAAGACTTCTTTAAAATGTGCATAACATGATTGTTACCTGGCCACCATCTTTGCTCCTTCAAGAGACTGTGTTTCTCTCACAACATTAACAGCCTTTTCAGGATTATTTAGGTGATCCAAATATAGTCGAATTACACTATCCCACTGCTTTGCATGTTCATAAGCTATCACAGCTTCCGCGTACCTGCAAAATAATGGTTCCACATCAGTTGTTTTAACTTTGTAAATAACTCTTTATAATATGGTGTGAAGAAAATATAAAATATTTATTTCTGTGAGATTACTTTGTGGCAACTTCCTTTCAGTTTGCATGCAATTGCATTGCTCTGCATTTACCAAGTTCTTTTTGGTTCTTCTGTTTCATTTTCTCTTAGGAGAATGAAAAGCAGAGGCAACAGAAAAATGTCTAGCACAATACTATTTCTACTTATTCTGCCAGCATCTCTTTTGCTATACATTAAAAACAGTTAATCTCTTCCATTTGAAATCCCTTGGGAGCAAGAGAACCATAAAAACCAAATGTGATAGCTAGGCATACAATTTTAAAAATAAGACCTCTTTTCTCTTTTGTAGACAAGATCAAGAAATTTCTCATTCTCTCGCTATGCAATTGACACAAACAGTATTTTCTAGTCTCATCAATGCAAACATTAAACTCTGGTGCTGTTTCACATTTTAAAGTATCATTATTCTGAAGCATATTAACTTACAGGTAAGGACTAGGAAGAACTACATTCTGTGATTAAATATAACCTATCTGGGGCTTTCATTTCAGTTAATAACTCGGCATTATTCAATATTCTGCAAGTGCAGCCATTAAGTTGCACCAGTATTTTGATTCTAGAATGAAAAAATTCCTTTCATGATTATTCTCCCTTTGAATGACCTTTAAAAACAAACTGAACTTGAATACTCTGCTAAGTGGAATGACGTTCAGCATTTTAAAACCTTTGATGACTTTTGTTAGAAAGATATTAATGTTTAGACAGGACAACAATTAAGTAGAAACACATCTTTGATACCAGATTAATGTCCTTAGATTACATTTCAAATCTTCAATACACTAAGTGTAAACTCAAGTTTACATATTTTAGAATCCATTTTCACAACACTATTTTATGCAAAAGTTTCAGTACGTGTTTTATTTTACAAAAACACTAATGTATAATAATACCAACAACAACAGCAATAGCATGTTTTATATTAAAAAAGAGCATTCAAAAGTACCTGCCATCTGCTTCCTTGGCCTTTGCATACTGTAGGTGAATTTTTGGAGATGAAACCTGAGGAAGAAGTTCACCAACCTTTGCCCTAGAAAGATAATAGCTATTTAATAAATACACAGCTGGATCCAAATTTTCTCCAGTATTTACATCATCACTGAAAAGGAGTCTGATAGAAGAAACTGAACATAATAGATAAGCTTTGAAGTAAATTCAGTATTTTCTAGAAGTTGCATTTTGTAAGAACTGGAAGTGACAGATTGCTTTGTGAGCATACAGGTTTGAAGTCAGTCTCCTTTGTTTTTTTTTAATGTCTGATGTGTACAAGCATAAGAAGTGTCAGACCAACAATTTTTACCTCAAATGTTGCTGGATTAACCAACAAAAGAAAAGAAGCACAGCATATAACCTGAAAGCTCTATAAAATCAACAAACTAAGCAGTGGGCCTTTCAGGACAAAGGATATGAGAGACTCAACAGAGTCTTAAATCTCACCTCTGACTAAAAGATGGGCACTCTTCACACTGAACCTCCCTTTGTAAGAGTAAACAAAGCTTGTACCTCCCACTTCCCAAATCAAGGTCATCATTAGATGCAAGCTACTCTGCTTAACCAAGTGCTTTCCTGGCTCATTTTGATGCCACTGACAATTCTTTAATGGAATAAAATTTTCCTTTTTCAAATAAATGCACGTAATATTCCTAATCTTTATAACACTCATATGAAAGAGGTCTTACTGAACTGTCCCATCAGTTCCTAATGTGAGGAGTCCATAAAACGTAATTAGGTCAGAACTGAGCCCTTAAATCTCTCAGAAAATTGGAATTTTCCAATGGAGACTTCACAATAATCAAATTAATTTAAAAAAAGAAAATTATGATACTGGCTATTCTTGAATAATTTCAACTGTCCAAATATTCAGTCTCAGCTATGCATGTTATGAAACTAAAAAAATATAATTAATTAAACAGTAACTACTCAAATATAATTACTATATTCAGTGTGCACTAAACTCAGTGTGGATGTCTGCACGTGCACACACCCACAAAGGACTTGAAACTGCAGGAAACCTTAAACATAACATACAAAAAAAGGAAAAAACAAATCTTCCCATTTACAGTAAGACTATATTAAAAACCCATAAATTTCTGAGCGAATCTTTAAGCTTGAATTTGGAACAATAAAATCAATAAAACATAGTTAATGAGACATTTGTGTTATTCAGAGAATCAATCTTTTCTAAAGAATACCCCAGCAAATCCTCTGAAATACAACATCTCCCTGAAACCTGTACTTACCAGTTTTTACACCGGATGTATACTGATGCTGCCTTGTCATAATATTGTCCCTTTTCATACAGCTGAGCAGCTTCTGAAAATTGCTGCAATATCGGAAACCATTAAAATATAATTTCTAAATTAAGATCATAAATAAATTACTAACCTAGTGAAATCACATATTCAGCCTTAACTCATATTAACTCTCTTGAGTACCTTCATATTCTCCAGAATAGCTCCACAGTCTCTTTTTAGTAACCTACTGGGATGTTTAATGGCCTGGTTTACCCCTCGACGGACATCTCCCATCCGAATGGACATCTGAGCCACACCAGCAAGGCAAATTTCATCGTGTTCCTGGTACTGGCAATCAAATGAAAAGCAGTAACTATAGATTACACATTAGAAACACCAGGTCACAAAAGCGACAGTAATCAAGCATTGAAACAAACTAACAAAATATTACAGACTTAACATTTTTTTAGAGCTGAATTAAAAAATTGGAATTCAAATGAATCTGAAACATGACAACTTAATGTATATTGTGACAGTACAATGCTATCATTACTAAAAAGGAATTACCTCATTGTTTCCAGTGATTCCCTTCTCATAATGTGCCAGAGCATTAACGTAATCACCCCTAAAAGAAAACTGGAAGTTATACAGACAAATATTTTTAATAGGAAGAGATGTTTGCCTTCCTACCACTTCGTGCATGCATATGCATGTATCTGTCTTTATTTAGACATAACAACTACAGAAAAGGTTGTGAGGTATGTGAGAGGTGGACAGTTACACAGAACGTTATGGCACTTCCTATGGACTTGATCAAGCTCTTAGTCAAAGACGCAATTCCATCTCTCAATTCTGTTGGACAGAGACCAGTAAACCTCCCTTAAAAGGCAAGGAATCTATCTGCAATATACATCTCAGTGGTCTCAGCTCTATTCCAGATTTTTCCGGAAGACAAACGAAGGTAATCTTTGAAATTATTTAGAATTTTTGCTACACAAAATCAAAGGTAATTTTTTTCCTGGTGTATATTCAGAACTCAAGTGCCAGATAGTTGCATGGCTTCAACTGCATCCATTCCTTGTTTTCTGTGACCAGCAAGTGTGCTCTCTCAATGCCAGGTGTACTGCCAGGGGGAGGGAATTGTCCACAAACTACTAATAGGTAAGCTTTTCCTCTTGACTTAGATTTTAAACAGACCAGGTTTTATCTGGGAAGAATTAACTATTAAATAGACTTTAAAATCATGCCAAATGGTTAATACCTTCTGTCTTTCAGGGATTGGCAGCTTTGAAATTTGACATACCTCTACCTAAATGAATTAAGAAAATGAAAGCATATAGCTATTTAAAGAAAGACAGGCAAAAAGCATGGCTTTCATCCATTGTAAGAAGTGCTAAATTATTTGGACTTTCTCTGTTTTCCAAGCACTTGCCTGCACCAAAGTATTTGTTTAGTAGATGATATTATATAGTGGACCTACCAGTAGCAAAGAACCTATATATATCAGAATTAGTAAAAAGGAACTATGATTTACTAACGTGTCTCTAACATGAAAGATTCCTTGCAAAACTCCTCTTCCTCATACTATAGCTGCAAGACCTCACTGAATCCTCTCTCAGCAATGCAGTCATCTGAAATATCTGTGCTCTTCTATTGAGCATGAGTATTGTTTTAACATTCTTACACTAGAGCCTTACAGGAGAACTTACATGAATTCAAGTTGCACTGCATATTCCTTCGATATGAAAGGGATTTGGTCTGGGGCCAGACGTTTAGCCAGCTGAAGTGCTTTATCCCAGTGCTGCAAGTCTTTTCGCATCTATTAACAAAGAACAGGAACATTTTCTGATGCAAGTATCAAATTTGGACTTCTGTTCTGAACTTTACATTATTTTAAATACAAATATTGACTTAATATTCTAGAAAGATTTGGACAATTTGAGAGACATTAATCCTAAAGGAAGGTCTGTTAGGTCGACCCTGGAAAAGACAGGCCTGTCAGTCTCACTTCATTGCCTGGCAAAATTATGGAAAAGATTATTCTGGAAGTTATTGAAAAACACTTGAAGAACAACGTAGTCATTGGTCACAGCCAACACAACTTCATGAAAGCAAAATCCTGCTTGACAAACTTAATTTCCTTTTATTATAAGGTAACCCACCTAGCCGATCAAGTACAATCAATTGATGGAATCTTTTTGGATTTCAGTAAAGCTTTGAATACAGTCTCTTAGAGTATGTAAAATGATGGGTAAACACATCATGGGATGGGTGAGCAACTGGTTCACGAGTCAGGCACTAAGGGTTACAGTGAATGGGGTGACATCAGACAGGTGACCTGTCACTAGTGGGGTTACACAGGGCTCCATCCTCGGCCTGTGCTCTTCAACATCTTCATAAATTACTTGGACACAAGACCTGAAGGTATAATAAATAAGTTTTCTGATGACACTAAATTGGAAGGAAAGGAACTCCCTCAAAGGCAAGGAGGTCCTGCGGAGAGACCTCGACAGATTAGAGGGCTGGACAATCACCAACTGTATGAAGCTTAACAAGGGAAAGCACCAGACTCTGCATGTGGGACAGAGCAACCCTGGATGTACAGACAGAATAGGGAATAGGATGCTGGAGAGCAGTGCCATGCAAAGGGACCTGGGGGTCCTGGTCCATGACAAGTTGAACATGAGCCAGCAGTGCCCTGGCAGCCAACCCTGTCCCGGGGTGCATCAGGCACAACATCACCAGCCAGGCAAGGGAGGGGATTGTCCTGCTCTGCTCTGCACTGAGGCAGCCTCACCTTGAATATTGTGTGCAGTTTTGGGCACCACAGTGTAAGAAGGATCTAAAGCTGTTAGAAAGTGTCCAAAGGAGGGCAACAAAGATGGTGAAGGGCCTTGAGGGGAAGCTGTATGAGGAGTGGCTGAGGTCACTTGGTGTGTTCAGCATGAAGGAGACTGAGGGGAGACCTCATTGCAGTTACAGGTTCCTTGTGAGAAGAAGAGGAAGGGCAGACACTGATCTCTTCATTGTGGTGTCCAGAGACAGGACCTGAAGGAATGTCCTGAAGCTGTGTCAGGGCAGTTTTACATTGGATATCACTCAGGAAAAGGTTCTTCACCCAGATGGTGTTTGGGCACTGGAACAGCTCCCCAGGGAAGTGGTCACAGCACCAAGCCTGACAGAGCTCCAGAAGCATTTGGACAATGCTCTCAGGCACATGATGTGACCCTTGGGGTTGTCCTGTGCATGGTCAGGAGTTGGACTGGATGATCCATGTGGTTCCCTTCCAATTCAAGATAGTCTATGATTTTAGTCACACAATGGCAAGATCAAAACTATAAAAGGACAAAACTATCAGAAGGTAAAATATTCCAGAATTAACCTGGAAACAAAACCAGCAGAAAATTCACACATCTTAAATGAATACCTCAAGAGCAGCAATAGGACAGGAGGATGCCAGATACAAATCCTGAGCCAGATTAAAATCACTAGTAAACATTGCAAGATGTCCTGCTAAAAGGCTGTGGTCTTCTATTCCCTGTAGAAAGACATAATAGGTGAAGAAGTAGTCCAAAAGAAAATAAATACTGTATAAATAACATAATCTAGTTAGAAAAATAGCAAAACCAAATATCCTTACATTTTACAGTTATGTGTATTGGATTCTACAAACCAGAAAAAGCCCTCAGGTGCCACCAGAGCTAACAGTGTCTAAAATCAGCAATTTGCAGAAGTATAATTTTAAGGTACTATTTCACTTCTAGATGTATAAATGAAATCTCGTTTTGTTTTGGATTTTTTTTAATAGCAGTCTTCAACATTTTCTCAAAAATAACAAAAGGAAATAAGAGCCTCCCAATGCCTGAGACATGAATATATTCTGCTGTTCTCAAGCAAGTGCAAGAAATACTGTGCAGTACTGCAGAGACTGCAACCACTTCAAGAAAAAAGCAAACACATTCTGTAGTTTGGACACTTTATCCTCTATATCCCTTGAAAGCAACTCAAATTCTGTTTACACAAAAACAACCCCTTCTCCCAGCAAAAAATACCCAAGAATTCTGCAATTCCTAAAGAGGAATTGAATTACCGTATTTCCTATTTACATTTTACCTTTATTTGCTCTAGTGACATCACCATCCCAGCATTACCAGATGTTCTATAAACACGTATTGCAAAATCCACCTCCATATGATGTAAGCAAGCTTTGCCCAGCTCATTCCAACAAGACTGATCATTCAGGAGTGTACAAATCTCCCATGCTTCAGAAAATCTATAGAAGGTAAAACACATTCACAACTACCTTAATTTTAGATATACTCAAAACTCCCTCTCAACATTTTTTTCTCTCTCTTAGAGAAAACGTAAAAAACATTTACTTCTAAGCCATGGAGAGAGAGATGTATCAGGAAGGAAGGAAAAATACAAATGTGTACCCTCTCCTATTTCTACCACACTTTTTCAGGAAACCATCTGCTTTCCCTACTCTGGCATTCTTTCCTTTGTACTGATTTTGCATTGCTTCATTACAATGGGAGGAGAGTATGACTGAAGCACCTTCAGCCAGTTTCGGAGGAGCCACTGTCATAAAACCCCGAAAGGTCTTGAAAAAAAAAAATTTAGGCTTTTACTCGATAGTGAAAAAAAATGCAAACCACCACTGGGTCATTTATTTTCTTGGTCTGTCTGGAGAGCTATGTGAACTTACGGATCAATCTGATCTATCAATATTCAGCAGGACACTTTAAAATCACCAGGATATGCTATATTGAACTATAAGCACAGAAGAAAACAATTTACACAATATAATTAAAATGAAGATGTACCTTTTCAACATTAGAGTCTGAGTAAGCATTTGTCTCAGCATATCAGGTCCAAAGTCTTTCAAATTGCCAAGGAAACCGTGAGTACTTAAATAGATATTGTTTGTTTTCCCACTCTGAGTCTGACAAGTTAATTCTCCATTATACAACAACAAAGGTTTATGGGAATAGGGGACTTCCATGACACCTGCCAAAATAATCCTTGATCCTAGGTTCAAAGATCAGGAAGAAAAAAAGACGTCTCGTAAAAATCGCTACATGGTAAAAAGCATAGCAAGCAGCTGAAAACATATATATTTGCAGGGCATTAATTCAGGGTCTGCAATTCTGGCAGTCAGCAGCAACTACACAAGTACACAACTCTCAGTGAATATACAGTATGTAAATATTTTAAACCAGTACGGTCCTTTTCCAAATGTTTTTTGGGTAAATTTCAGTGTTTCTCTCTGGCAAATACAGAAATGGCTATGTTTGCAATTTAACACTTTCAATGAATACAAGTTTTGTGACCCTGATGCAAGTTTTTCTGTCACCCTGATCCTGAGATTTTTCTCATGAATGCTTCAAAATACAATTGAAGCACAATGTGTAACTATCAGATGAAATATTATAATAGCAAGAAGCTAATGGAGTTGAGACCAAAATGCCTTGAAGCCTTACAGAGAAACCTGCAAAGTAACTAGTTTTCTATTCATCAGTTGCACTTCAAATCTTCTGTAGTACTATTTATTTCTAAGACAAAGGAAGATTCAGAACATGTTTTACTTTATTAAGTAAAATAGTATAATCTTTAAGAATAACCTTTTTAAAGAGCTTATGGTACCTTGAATGGTATCCTTATGAAAAACGTAAGTGTATACTTTATCATCATCAAAAGCAACAAAAACACCTTTATCCATTGGCCAGTTTTCCCACAGGATTCCTTTAATGGTTGGTGAGAAGTCTGGAATCTCATATACTCTATCATTTACCTACATATAATGCAAAAGTAAAATTACTATCAAGCTACTAAAGCAAGAAACAAAATATTCATCCCAGCTGTGATTAAAAACTCTAAATTTTAATTTTAAATAAAAAACTATTAATTTTAATTTAAATTAAAATTTTTAAAATAAGCAGTGCAGAAATATTGCAGAAAATTGTTTTAAGAAAAAGTTTCCTTATAAGCAGTAATTCTGAATAACACAAGAATTTAAATTTGAAATGGGGAAAATACACATAATATAAATGATATTTACTATTCTTTAAAAAAAAGGTATGGAAAGGGGTGGTGAAACTGGCTAAATTATCTCTATTTAAATACACAAACATATACATCTTTGAAAGTTACCAATCAGGAACTTAGTATAATGGAATTATCCTGATCTAGTATGACAGATTTTATTTCCTTACATTAGCATTAAGTTATCTTCAAGTTTCCTTACCAGTTTCTTCTATCAGCATACATGCTGGAGTGAAAAAAATCTTAATTTTCTATTAAAAACACTATATAGCTGAAGAGCCTGCTTGTAAATATATTATATTGGTATCCCACAATCAACTTACTGGACAATAGACAAAGCCATCACTTTTGTCATCTATGAAAGCCATCCTGGTTCCATTGGGATCTGGAAAAACCTTTCTCACACTGACAGAATGCCGATATTCATTCACATGCTGCCAGTCTTCAATGTAGAAATAATGAATAACTCCAGTCTAATGAGAAATAATAGAAAATGTTAATAATTAAATCAGTAAGTGGCGAGTAGGTAATTAATTTGGTTGTAGTGTCTTCCATCTTAGAGTACTGAGTGCTCAAAAAAAGTACTTCTAAGTGGGTTTTTTGCTTCATTCTCACACCCTGTATTGGGTAAGACAGGAAAAATTTCAGAGGAGCAAAGAAAAGATTTGGGAGGTTTCAGGGATTCCTTTTTTTGAGGTTGGTTTTGATATTTATCTTCCTCTGCTTTGTGAAGACAAGTGTTTACTGTGCAGTTCTCTAAACAAATGAAATGCCTGTCTCATTGCTGAGAGAGGCATAACCTTCAAATAAAGGTGTAAAATTTGTTTCCAAGGAAGAACCATACATTCTTAAGAAGAGAGATACCTAACTCAGGGAATAAAAGCAATCAAACTAATTTGTGATTAAAAGTATATTTTAAAAATTGTGCCTTTTGACATCAATGGTAGATTTTGCACACGATCAAATTGATTGGCAGCAAATTTATTACTTCAAATTTGTTAGTATCAGTTTAGGTACAGAGGAGGTAGGAAACCTCTACAAAACCACTACAAAACCACTACAAAACCACTCAAGTTATTAAACCAGTTATTAAACCAGAGATAGTGGTTCTGCCTTTCCTCTGGAAGGTCAATACACTAGTCAATATCACAAGGAGCAAAATACTACAATGCCAAACATGCCCTGTATTCCTAGCGCCAGAAAATGTCCTGTTTGTTTTAAAAGGAAAAAAAAATACCCTCATACATTAAAAAAATCTCCAGAAAAAAATTCATAAGCATGTCCACATCCTTCTTCAGAGCCCTCCTTAATTCCTATCCTTGTTGAAACTTGTAAAAAAATTCTCTTTGGACAAAGGCTTCAGTAGCAAGTCAAGGCTTTCATTTATGCTATTACACTTATATACATGAGTACCTTTTTGTCCACATTTTTCACATCATCACCTAAATCAACAAATCTGCAAGGCAAGTGAATGTTTTTTCTTCTATCTGGAAGACATGTTGATCACCAACTCTCTCGCTACTACAACAGAATTAAGTTCTGCTATTAAAAGCAATGTTTTGCAACAAACACTAGTAAAAGCAAAACTTCATCTTCCTGCCAATGCACATCACATAAATGCAACGGTAAAGGAAGCTGGATGCAATTTTTACTGTATTTGCTCAAAGCTCTTATATAGAAAATAATCCACTCTGAAGTGCACAGATGCACTTTTTGTTTTGCTAAAAGCATGAGCAGTAATCAAAAACATTCAGACAGAAATATGTTTCATCTAAAAAGATCTTTTAAAAGAAGTAATACTTACATCTGTACCATATATGAGGAAGTCACTAGTTAAAGCATGGCACAAAATTCGGTATTTATCATCATCTGCAGGGAAAAGTCGAGTTTCTCGTTCTTCCTGAGCACCCAAACCCTCACTTTCTATCTAAACATAAAGAAGAGAATGAACTGAAATACCCCACTGTTAACAATAGGGTATAATGGTGTTGCTTGTATCAAACTCTAAGAAAACTAGATGAAAAAAACCTTGCATATGTATCCCTTAAGAACCCAGCATCTGCTTCTGTCACATTACCAGAGAACTTTAAAATAAAACCTGTTAAATAGCTGACAAGAAAATGCTTCTTTTTCACCTGTTCTAGTCTAGGCTGTATTTCCAAGTCTACAGAAACTCAGCTCTATATTTTACTTAGCCAGCAAAAGTGTTCTGAAGAATTTTAAATGTTTATCTCCATTAACTGAAGATCATTGCATTTTATTTAATTTTTAAAATTATACTAACTTGTTCAGTTTATATCAACTCATTAGTTCAATAATCCAAACTGCCAGAGCTCTTACCATATGCAACTGGACTTTACCCTCAAAAAGAGCAGCAGCATAATCGGAATTAAGGTGCATACTTGCTACTGTCCCCAGGTACTCCACATCGTTAAGCTTTTTTACATCTAAATGATTCAAACAGAAAAAATAAGGTAAAAATATTTTGATTTTCTACAGGTCTTTACTTATCTAAATTTGCAGCTGAGTAAGCAGATGTGAAAATCTCACAACCAAGCAGAGAAGAGACAAGTCACACATAAAGAGACTTTCTTCTTAGCAGTCAGAGAACTGGTTAGAAACTAAAGGAGAAACTCTTTTCCTGTGCAACTCTAACTAGTATTGTTACAGTTTTCTTTAATTTACTGTCACTGAAAAAAGGGGATGCTTAGAAAAACATGGAAGTTTGAAATCCACTATCGAAAATTTCAACACAGCATAACCAAGCTTTCCTTATCCCATAAAAACAACATGAAGATCTGCCAAACTGAAAATTTAAATTCTCTGATCATAGTTCCTAGGTACTTTGCTGAACTTAGTACTTTAAGACACAGATATAAAATGTCTCAAAAGCCTGAAGTCTGAAGGACTAACAAGACTAACTTGATGATGTGAAAAAACAAGTAAGCAACAGTCTACATTTCATGACCAATATCTCAGACAAGAAGTTTTATTTCTATTATTTACAATGCCTTGCCATAACTGCTTCAGCCTGCAACAATTATTGTCCCATCCTAGCAGGACCATATGGCAATTCAAATTTCTATTGTACAACGTGGAATGTCCAGAACTCCTAAACACAGTACTGAATTAATAAAATAAGACAGAGTGCTGCATTAAAGAGAACCAAATTCATGCTTACTATTCTCTCCAAGTGCATAAAACCAAGCCCGATTGTTCATTCCTACAGCCAAATGATAAACACCAATAGCGACAAAACTGGGCTCTACTTCAACAGAGACTGTGACTGGAAGCTCCTGTAAGAAAACAAAACAATAATACGATTTTGATCCCCTTTTGATTAATTCCATCTTTTTTCCTTACTTTAATTACATCTACATGAAGTTTAAAAGGAAGAGGTTATCATACGCTCTCCACATGATTTGCTATGGTGACTTCAAGAAGAGAAGTGAGGTATGCAATCCGTGTACTGCAAGCATCTCCAAGGATTGGAAGCTTTGTCAAGAAAACATGGAGGGATCCTTTTCGTGTAGATACTGCCAACAGCTGTCCATCATCTGTCCAAGCCATCTGATCTACACCTAAAATATTCACAAGTTTTTGTAAAAAGGATAATCCTTTCTTTAACTATTGTAACCAACAAGCAATTATTTTGCTCTAAACTGTGAAAATGGTAGGAATTCATATCTAGAATATATGTACTAATGGACTCAAAGCTAATCAATTAATACAATTCCAAGATCAATTAGTATCACTCAAACCAAACACAAAATTTAATAACATAGCATTTTCCTGAGAGTGAAGACTTCACAGAATGACAGAATGGTTGAGCTGAGATGACCTTAAAGACTATCTAGGTGCAACCCACCTTCCACTAGACCAGATTACAGATCTGTTACAAAACTGATCAACACTCTTCCTCTTTTCAACCCTGACAGTTCAGGCAGCACATTCAAAGCAATCCATAATACTGGAAGCAGCTGAGCAGAATTCAATCTTATTCCCCTTACTGCAAAATCAGTAAGTACTAAACACAGAACTGGTGTTTGCTTCTCAGTGTCTGAAAATGCCATTAGAAAAACCATACTCTAACTGCCTAATACCAATATTCCAAGGGAGACAGGGAAGTGTTGTGCTCAAAATATCCTATATTTCTTAAAAAGAAAAAATTTAAAAAGGAAGGTTCCTAAGAAATAAAAAATGCTGGAAGCAAACAGCTACTTGACAATAACTGAAGCATTTACAAACACTACAGGAGGAGATAAGGGTGAAAACTCACTACTCAAAAAAATGGTTTTGCAACACTGTTCTAGAAGCCACAGGCACAAGTCCTGTACATCAGGACAAAACCAGATCAAGTATCAATGTTAGTAAAAGATATGCTGAAAAAAACCTCATGGAAAGAAGCAGAAAACAGTTAAGTGTCTCATTGTAATAATCTGAATATACTGTAATACAGATTCAAAACCACACAACACTAACTGATCAAATATTCTGAGAGCTGTACTTCTCTGTACTTTGAATAGATAAAATATGCTGCCATTTTGCTACAGGTCACCTAATAAATACAAGTTGGGAATGTGTGAGTTTTTGAAAAATTCTATATTTACACAGTTTTTCCAACAACAGTACTTTCACTCCATGAACAGAGACACTGTCAGAATTCCAGTTTACTTAATTTGTAAAAATTTCTATCCCCGTGGAGCAAGTTAACATACCTTTATTTTCATCATCCAAGTTTATTATGGCATACATTTCTCTCATATCTGTCAGATCATGGATTTTGATGCTAAAACAAAAATAAAGAGTCAATCATTCCCACCCATTTAAATATCAGTCGTCATTAACTGGAAGAAACCCAGTCCAATCAAGATAGCCTAATGGAGCAAAAAGTAGAACACAAATGCAAAATGTCTTCAATTTCCTAAAAAACAACACATTATTATCCATCACTGTAAACAGTGAATCATTGTATTACAGTGAACAGTGAATTACAGTAAAAAAATATTTGCTCAGAGAACTAAAATTTGAGGAAAAGGCACAAATCCAATTTGAAAGAATTCAGCGTTAGGAAACATAGACTTTTATTCCCTTTTGATCTGTTAGAGCATTTTAATTTTAAAAGACATTACTGATGGACACACAGGGCTTGAAACACTGATGCAAAAAATACTTTCAATCCTGCTGCATATAAAAGAGACAGAGAATGAGAGTTTACTTATGCTGTCATGGCACCCAAAGCAAGTTAAACCACTCCTTAAAGAAATAACCCTTACTGTACAGCAAGTGCTTGAAGTTGCACCATGTTTTGCCCACAGTTATACCACTCTTGATGTGCAAGTGTCATAAATCAGCAGCTTGTCCTACACAGAGCTGAGGGCAGAGAGAACAGTTTGACACAATTCTTCTTTTGCTGAAGAATTCAGATATCACAGAATCAGGGATTAGCATATGAGGAGCTAAAGGAGCTATTCTATCATATGCACAAAACATTTTGGAAAAACTCCAACATATTTAATTATTTATTTCCTTAATTACTCACACTTTTCAACTTTTGTCTAGACTGCAGGCAAGACATACCAACATCAGGTATCAACATACTCAGTACAGATTTAAATTAATTTTTCTCCTGTTGTTAAGCAGATGTTTATGCTCAATCAATGAATCTTAGTAAAGAAATTTGAACTTTTTTGCCGCCAAGCTACATAACAGAAAAACAATGAATAAAAAGGAATAATATATACTAAAGTTAATTTATTTTTTGTTCACAATTAATTACATTTATTAGTGTTGCAGAGATTTTTGTCAATAATAGCTTCTCCTAACTCTAGGCACAGCAGCAGTTCCACAGAGCAATTCATCTTACCTCTTCCAAATTCACTTCTTAGGGAGCCTTGAAGCCTTAGGAAGCATAGCGTGAATGCCCAGTAGCTCCAGCTGTGGGAGATGAATTCTATTCTTTATATATAAAATAACTACTTACCAACTGTCTCCACATGATGCAGCTTTGTTTAATGACTGTGATATAGCAATGCTGCTTAGATTATCCTTATGATTATGAGCTTGAAAGACTTCTTGTCCTATTTCACGAATATGTGTAGAAATTACTACAAAACACCCTTGTGAGAAACCAATCATGATATAGCCATCACCATACCTGTTACACAAAGCAAAAATTTAGAAAAGAGATCCTTTAATGCAATATGCAAAAAGCATTTTCTTTCAAACTGCTGGGGTACAGTCAATGTCTCCCAGTAACACAAAAAATAAACAAATTATGGGAATTTATATATATCATGTTGAATCATATAATATAAAATAGGTTAAGGGAAAACTATCAGAGGTTCTTAAGGGATAGAAACACGTCCATGCCCAGATGCCTTGCAAGTCATCTTTATTCTCTCCTGTATTCTATAATGCCACTTTATTTTCAAGCTGCACACATGGCAGTGATGCCAGGAGAAAGAATTCTGGTATCTTCATTGAAGTAAGTATACCAGAAGATGGCAACTTTAATTTCAAGGTTCTGACGTATGTTCTGGCCCATCAAAGCCATGCCAAAACAGTAATGCCAGTCACTGTGCCCTTAAGGGCACTGCAAACACAGTAGAAGTACCAAAGCAACAAATTTGTGAATATTCTGTTTACTTTCCATAGTGTCAAGTAGAAATAATGAGGTTAAGGCACAAATAGTTAAAGCATATAAATATGAATTCAAACAATATCTCATTAGCTCAATTGCAAGAAAAATCACTGCAGGGAAACAGCCCAGGTACACCTTGTTACACATGGAAGCATATAGCTTCAGGTTTTCTTAGTGCTGTAGTGTAAAGGGATGTCAATTCCATGTTGACTCAACAGGCATTAAAAGACAAGCTGTAATGATTCAAAGATACAGAAATAGTACAGCTACTTTTCTGGTACAGATCTGAAACTTCTAGCTTAGGTTTTCTTCATAGGAACACTACCAATGGTATTGCACAAGAAGAAGGCTATAAGAACTTTGCACAGCTTTGCAAACCAACAAACTAGCTCTAGGACACAACTCCACCCCTAGCTCTTTCATCAGTTACTCATCCAAACAGGAAACAACCAAAAATCTCTCCATTTAATTTGTCAAAACAGTTACATATTTTTGTTTAAAGTTGAGCATAGCAACAGTGATTCTGTTGGAAAATACTGTTTTTATAGCTATTGAATCATCAAGAAGAACAGTTAAAAATGTAGACTACCTTGTGTTCAGAAAAGAATTACTGAAAAGTCTACAGTATATACAGGCAAGAAAAATCCAGTCTAAGCAAGGGATAGATGATTTTTTCCGAGCATTTATCAGAACTACTTGGAAAATACCCAGCTTCTTAATACTAGAATAATGAAGGAAGTTCTGCTCACCATTTGTAGCTCACAATACTGCCATAAGGCTGCTGAAATTTCAGATCAATTGGGTTATCAGGATCATTCAAATTAAAAAGGAAGAGAGTCTTCTTGCCAACCACTGCACTTACCTGCCAATGAATGAAAAGAAAAATTAACATGACAAGAATGGCAAAACTTTAAAGTAAGGCCCTATATCTTCACTAAAAGACGAGATTCAGGAATTTGAATAATCCTTAAGAACCTCATGGATCTGAATTCTGAATCTTCATCAACAGTGGAAGAGATTTTCAGGACATTCTCCTGTGTAAGCCAGTGGTTCACAAATCTAAATGCAAGCTCAGCAGAACACACATCTCAAATTCAAGACTTTCTCCTACAGAAGTCAGCTGCATTTCCTCAGAAGAATAGGCAGCAGGTCACACGGAGTTATCCTTCAGATTATTCCCACTTTAATTACAGTATTTTGTAGTGACTTCTTACTGTGCTTTCCCTGGTTGATACTCTTTCATCAGTCTTCATAACTGAGAACTGCATGTCACTGGGATCTGAGCTGACTGAGGTCTGCAAGGAAGAGTGCAGATTGAGAAATCAACAGTTAATGTAGCACATACTGATGACATATAATTGCATTATTCCTGCCATGTATAATTTTGCATAAGGACAGAAGGGAAAGATGCTACTGCATTTAGTACCAAAATCAAGAAAATCATTGGAGAAAACATGACCTCAGTTTGGGTCTTAATGACACATTAGCATAAAATATACTTTAAAAAAACAAACAAACTCCTTGTCCTTGAAAGCACTGGGATTCAAAAGGGACAAGTTCCCATAAATCCCAACTTTCTTAGGAACCAGAAGTATTAATGTACACCTAAAATCAAATGTGCTTTATAAATACTACCTGTCTTATAGTATCCCCTTCCTGATTGCTTATAGTAATCATTTTGTCTTCACCACCTAAAGCAAGGAGGTTTTCAATACTCCAACAGCCACAAGTAATCCTCTTAGTGTGTTTACCTGAAAAAGAAAAAAACCTATACAACACAAATCAAACACAACCACAAAAAAAAAAATCTGTGATGGAAATACACACCATTCGGCCACTCAAACACAGATTGTAAGAATGTGAAAGAAATGTGAAATGATCTGCAAGAGCAAGAGCCTTTTTATAAAAAATCTGCCCTCAGATGGAAGTCTTTTGACTTTATACGAAATAGCACAGACCTGTTCTTCCATCTCTTTGCATCACATTTCTGGGGATTGTGTTAGCCTTTATGCCCAGAGGTACCCTAAGCAGGTAAGAAAGAGTAACTTAGCAAATGAACAACCACACAAATCCTTTGCAAGAAAGGTAACACAAGTCCTCCATGAGTCAGTAAGGCAATATTAGGTATTTGTGTGTGTGTGTCTATATATATATATATATATATGTTAAAAAACTTGGTATACTCTAAAAATACTCTGCTGAGTACACCAAAGTAGAAGGTGAAAGCTAAGTATGAGCACATTTTTTACCTGCATGTTCATATAGAGAACTGGAAAGAAAACTCTGTATATTAGCAAAATTCCACTTTCACATGTGCCAGAGTAGTTTCAAAGCAGTCCATACCAAGAACAGAAATCTTGCGAGAAGTCTGACGGTTATAGATGAGTAAGTTTCCCTTTGTTGTTCCAACAGCAAGTAAAGTTCCAACTCGAGACCATAACAAGAAAGACATTGCATCCCTAAAACAAAGAAAGATTTTACTTTGTATAGTAGAGATTCCTTTCATGTGTTCAGTTATTAAAACATTTTGCATAATAAATTTTGCATTTGTTTTTTATTTCTATGAGTCACACAGACCAAGGAGAACTTTTAAATTAAGCAAATGTTCTCTACCAGTGTCAGAATTATCTAAGTATACAGAAGATAGTAAAACTAATAAAAAATGGTACGAGGTAATGTAACATGAAATTACACATGAAAATGGGTCTGCAAATATCAAGAGTCTGATGGAAACACTGGCAATTTTCCAGTCACTTACTGTATTTTTTTATACTTCAATAACTCTATGCATTTAGCCAACTCAGAAGTGAGTAGGTCTGGTTCTAGCCAATGTAATAAAAAAGCTATAAAGATCTATTTTAAACTTGAAGTTTCAGATAGAGCAAGACCTATTCTGATGTATATTTAAGGCTATACAGATACTATACATCATGTTAAAAAACAAAGAGCCTCCTAAGAAAAAAAATTAAACCATAATTTTCTAATTACTGCAGTCCTTCCCATCTTTTTAAATTTCACTGTAGGCAATAGAAATTTGAAAAATATTGAAATACTGACACGTGAAATGATGTCCAATACATTTGGTTTGCATATAAGGGTGCTTCCCTAATTTCAAAAAAAGAAGGATATCAGAAAAGCCTCATTATCACATTGATTATGTCTTGGTGTTTATTCTGCTTAAGCAATGATACTGTGACAAAAAAAAAGGATTAGGGACATACATTGATATATAATGGTCTAGCAAGACTGCCTCCAGTAAGCAATTTACCTCCAGTATTAGAGAGAAAATCATGAAGGAACTGCAATTAACTGCAGACCCCATTCTGTTAAGTACCTTCTATGTTCTTTTTTGCTTGCCTACTGGCAGGTTACTCTTCTCCCCATAGTATTTGTTCACACATGAAAATGGTACAATATGGTCTGTTCATTCCCACAACATAATATGTGTATAACATACATCTTAACAAACATGGGACAGAGTTGTTTCCACTCTTTCCTACAGGAAGAATGTTTATGTAGAATGCAAGAGTTTAGTGAAATAGACTCAAAGAAGCCAAAAGTTTAATTGTTAAAACAAGTTTATCTATCAACCCAATGCTTGATGGTTATGCAGATCCCAGAAGAGTTTAAAGTCTGTGGCCAAATTCAGAAAGGTAAGGCTTTGAACCTTAGATATCTCCTTTTATCCTTTAGTCTACTTCATTAATAGCATTTTAGCCCCTTCATTAATCTAAGGGAAAAAAAATCTTAGCACCACTGATATCACTACCCTTACTTTTAAGCTCCCTTTAGCTGGTGTGAAAGACTTAGGAGAAAGAGTAGCAAGTGCAGATACACAAAAAATTCACCCATCCTTGCTGCTACCATCAAGTCAAAATATTGAAGAGAAGCTCTCTAGAGACTATGGCACTGCTGACACTCAAAAAATAAACAAACATCCTGTAACCCCCAAAATTCCCATCCACAATGAACACTTCAAAACCAGCAAATATAAAAAATAATTTAGCAATGAACTGTAGCATATTAGTTTAATTAGTATATATATTATGAGGACACCAATAAAAAGATGATCTTGAAATATAGCTTCCACATCAACAAGTCACAGTGGTCCAAGTTTTTAAATATACATGTTTAAAAAAATTCTTACCTCATACCACTGTCTACTTGGCTTGTTTTGTTTGTGATTGCATCCCACAGAAATATGGTGCTAGATTTGTCTGTGATTATTGCTAAAGTATCTCCATCCTTATCCCAGTCCATAGCAACACAATTACTGAAAAAAAGAAAAAAAAATCACTGAGAATGTGTTTATAAGTGTACAGAAACAGCCAGAATTATGCAACTGAGTCCCTATTTTTCCTTTCCCCTCCTCTGCAAACCCATGACTGATTGCAGATTTATCTGTAAACTAGTTGTATAGCAACCCCACTCTTACTCAAATCTCATTGATGACAGGGGCTGAGAGGAAAGTCATAAAAGACATTGCTGCCTATGTTCTAGTACTTGAAACACTGTCACCATGATTTTTCAAGAGACAGTGAAAGTCCTCTGTAAGGTTCTGGCTTGCTAGAGGCTATTCAGAGTTGGGATTATTTTCCTGGTAATACACTTCTGATTCCATACAGCTTTCTTCACTTTGGACAGTTTTCCAGAGAGAATGTGCATTTATCACACATTGTGCAAAACACTGCACAGAAAGAGCTGGGCCATGGATATTACCAACAAAGAGAGACTGACACAGCCAGACCATATTATAAATGACACCTAACCCAAACAGCAAGATGTGGTGGTTAGTGAATACAAGTGAGCCTGGTAAAAACAATGAGAATTGCATCTTTTAGTTTGGTGCAAGGTGGTAACTACATGAACTGCAAAAACTGGATTTCTAGGCTTCTTGGGGAACTAAGTGATTCTGGCTCATATTTACCAATGACACAGGGCTATGTAAGTGATGATCTGGAAATTAAAGTTATACTCTTGACTAGAGGTTTCAGCCTTAAAGACCATGGGAGTTTTGCCTTGACTAAGGGGTTTATCTTAACTGAAATGAATCAGATAGTTAGAAATAAAATAAAAATTTTCCATGTTGACTAAGAACAATTAAAGTGCTAAGAGATGAGCAATACACAAATGAAACTACATGAGGTATTAAAGGTGTCCAATAAGTGTATTTATTGAGCAAACCAATATGATGATCCAATATCGCACCATTTTTCCCTAGGGAGGCTTCCCCTGTTCCTATGGTGTGGCTGCTTTTTAAGAAGTTTAATATTATCTTACAAAGTACACAAGTTTTTTAATTTAATCTGAAAAAAATCCAGTTTGTAAACTCCCATATCATTCTCTGATGTGAACCAAAGTATGATAAGCTGGAAACAAAGACTCACTTCAAAAGTATCAACATTACCTAAAGCAACAATGCCAATATGTACATTTATGCCACTGATGTAAACAGAAGCACTAAACCAAAGGAGTATCTTTCCTCAGCAAAGCCATGATAACAAACTTAGAAAATCAACTGTAGCAAGAATGCAAGGATATATTGTACACAACCTCATTATGATCCCTCTTAATGTGATAAGTCTTTTTTTACATTTTAATTACACAATTTGTCTTTTCTGCCAGATATGCTCGCCAGAAATAGTATACTGTCCTACAAATTTCTCACATTATCTAAGTATCTCACCAGAAAAGAAGCATTTTTAAAGTAAATAACAAAGAATATAATTTAAACCTATCTTAGTACCTACCCTGGCAGGCTGATTTCATTTCTCTTCTGACCATGACGATCAAAAATTTTCACGGCACGATCACCTCTAAAAAAGATTAATATATAGAATAATTCCCCTTTTTTAATCAACAATTTTGATGGACAAATGCAATAAATAGTTGCAGTCTTACCCTGTTACAGCAAGAAAATTTCCTAAAGTTTTCTGCCAAGCAAACTGCACAGGCGAACCAGACCAAGATTTTTCACACAGACTGAATACTTGCTGGAGAAAAAAAAAAAAAAAGGAGGAAATGACACATCTTAAAATCATGAGATGTAAGTATACTACAACTTCTTAGCATGTTAGCAACTGTACTGTGGAGGTAGAATAGAAAACCCCTCAAAACAATCCAAACACAACTTCTGTGTGATTCCAATGCATCCAAGTACCAAGATCCCATATAAAGATTCTTTCAATTTGAGTGGGAAAAAATTGAAGTTGCTACTGCTGGGTGTCTACATAGAGAACTGTGACTCTATTAAAACTATTATTTTTGCCTCTTAGTTAAAATAATAAAAAATTGCATGAGACTCTCCCCTTCTACTTCAAAGACTACAATGCTAATAGTTCTCTAAACTTAATGGAAAAGTCTGGGACCAGAAAGCATCCTTAGTTTGTGAAACACAGAATGCTCAACATCCACTCTTTTAGAGGTAGGTAACCTTTTTGTTACTCTGAATTGCCCGGTCTTAAAAGCCAAGATCTCAAAGCAACACACTATAGAAAGAGAAATTGACTTCCAATGGAGAAAATTCCTGAACATCCTTTTCCTTTCACACCATCCACAGATATTTGCCTGTAAACTGGTTGTGACATAAAGCCCATAAGTTTGTTTCACAGCTTGCTGTCATGACTTATATCCCTACATGCCCTAAGATAAACCAATATTTGCTGTCCACCAAACGTTTCTCAGGCTTGCTCAAGTCTGCCACAGGTTCTTATCCCTTCTTTTGGGTCAGTGTAAACTGAGGCATTCTTCACACTGAATCTGCGTTCTGCTCACAAGAACAGCAAAAATACCACCACCATATGCCACACAAATGACACCAGGCAATGACCTTTGATTTTGAAAAATAATTTAATAAAATCTTAGTCCAGAAGAAGGCCGCGAAAATGATTTGAGGGATGAAGCATCTCTCCATCTATAGAGGAAAGGCTGAGAGAACTGGGATTGCCCACCGTGGAGAAACGAAGGCTTTGGTGTGACCTAACTGTGGGCTTTCAGTACCTGAAGGAAACCTACAAGTTGGACAGAGGAACTATTATAAGGGCATGGAGCCACAGATCGAGGGGGAATAGCTTAAAACCAAGAGAGTGGCTTTAGATTAGTTATTAAGGGGAATTTGCTGTGACGATGGAGAGGCACTGGAACAGCTTTCCCGTAGAAGTTGTGGACACCTCATCCATGGAAGCGTACAAGGCCAGGCTGGATGGAGCTCTGAGCCACCTGGGCTAGTGGACGACGTCCCTGCCCATCGCGGAGGCGCTGCAACTAGCTAAGCTTTAAGCTCCCTTCTACGCGAAGTGTCTCCATGAGAAAGTAAACAAACACGGGAGTGCAGGCAAGCACACCAGGCCCCCTGCCGCTTGCTGCCGGCGCTTCCCGCCTCGCCTCCCTCCCCTGCACAGGCCGCAAGCGCCACCGCCCGCCCGCTCGCTCCGCGGGCCGGGGCCGGGACCCGCGCCCCCCGCCCGCCCCTCCCGAGGCCGCGGCGCCCCGACCCACCTTCATCGCGGCCACCGCGGGCTGCCAGCGCCGGCACCGCGCATGCGCCGCCCGCCCACGGCGCCGCGGTTACCGCGGAGACGGAGCGGGCCGGGGCGGGCAGAGACAGAGAGACGGAGACCGGCCCCGGCCCCGGCCCCGGCCCCAGGAGCGCGCCACGGGCGGTTCTCAGAGGAAAAGGAGTGTTTTTAGACCGCAGGCACGCAGAACGGGCTCTAAGCGAGGAATCAGAGGCACACACCCGCCAGCAAAGCCTCTTGAGATCAGCTGTATTCCAACTGCAAAGCTTCATCACAAAGTGTCACCGATTTCTTTTAAAACAATAAATAGTTCGCCGAGAGCTTTCAAACACACGTTTAAAATTACAAATGTACAAAGGACTTTTGGCATCGGGTACTTCAATCTTTTTTTTTTAAAAAAAAAACAAACCCAAAACATTCAATGAGTTAACATCTTTCCGTTTTTCAGGCGCGGTGCTGCTCGGAAAACATAATGGACAAGGCACGTAAAAGCAAATACAAAAAGGCTTCTCCCGAGAACATTTAGACCGTTGAAAGCAATTCGATGTAACAGCAGAGGGCTCGAGAAAGGCAAATTATAAAGTATCTGAAAAAATTAGGTAACTGTTAAATAAGGTAACTACTTTGACACAGTTCTGCGAGGCACACCTCACTCTCCTGCAAGATGCTGAACATGCTTAAACGGTGGCAGCTGAGCATCTGGCAGGATTGGACCCTTTACATTTTTAAATAACCTTACAGGAAAGACAGACAATTTCTTCATCTTATAAAATTATATTTCTCATAGTAGTGCAAAGCCTCATTTAAAAAATGTAATTAGTCTAGATGTAATGGAATGCTTCAAAAATTCCAAAGTGCAAATACTAAACTTAAACTGGTTAATTGTTAATCACACTTTAGAATTCTTCCAATAACTCATACAAATAGCAAAGTAAATACAAGAACCAAAGCAGGGAAAAAGGTATGATGTTCTGCATCTTGCATAACAACTCTGAAAATCCAAAAAGTACACAAAAATATATGTCAGAAATTATTAAATAGCGGGTTTCTGTTAGCATAAGACAATATTTAAAATAAGGCTTTGGTTAAATAAAAAGTTTGCTAAACTAGGAATGATGATAAAAAGTGCAAAAGATTCACCAAATACACAACTTCATTTCCAAGGCAGGCATTACACCTGCCATTTACAATAGTTTGCATTGGTTTGTTAGCCTGCCTTGTTGTCACTCAGATAGCTATTTGTGTTTATTGCAGGCAAATGAAATCTGTGGGGTCCAATCCTATAACTTGTTTCACCCAGAGACAGACCCAATTATATCAAAGCATATCCATTTATAGCATCATGGCTCTGCATTTGGGAACATCAAGGCCCTGGAACCATAACATTTGATTATTATAGTGAGTTCACTCATTTTCTTAGTGATTCCTAAACAGATGTCCTCTGTTTCCAGCTGGCAGGTTGCAGCTGACTTTCATACGAGTAGAATTCTTGTAACATATGCATAACAAAGATAAGTTTTTAAAAAGTGCTTAATATTGGTCCATAAGAGCATCATGTCAGCTTCAGACCAAACACTTTGCTGTGGTAGATATCCTGCACCTGGTGTTTATTGGTGCGCTCATAGTTTGCTTGAGGAAAAAGTAATCCTCTGAGTCTACACAGGAGAATGTCACCTCTCCAGAGCAAATAATTCAGAGTTTTACAGTCACAACACATGCTCCAGCTCTTCCTAAGCACAGTGGTGCCACCTGTAAACAAACAAACAAACAAACAAACCATCAGTGACACAAATGCAGACAGCTTTAAGTAATTTTTCCCCCTAATTATATGGCTTCAGGAGAATGACAATATCACCCATGCTCTGTTAACATGACTTACGAATTGGTCTAAAACTGGATACAAACACAAAGAAAAGGTAAAGATACTTTATATTTTATACAACACAGTGAAGCACTCTGAAAACAATAGCAAGCAATTCTTATTGATAATTTCAATTATTTAGTATTACAGGAAAAAAGAAACCTTTATTATAGTACAAACTGGATACCTGAGCTAGACAGTCAGACAATTGAGTAAAGGGTGGTAGAAAAATGCGTTTCTCAAAACCAGAAAATGCCTAAAATTATAGGGGCCACCTTTCCTTTTTACTTGATTATTTGATAAAATTCTGTTAAGAGTTCTTGAAATCAGAATAAATTTACCAGTCCTTATTCTTCAATTCAAACAGAATTTACTTCTGGCAAGACCTTTTTCTGCTGAGATTCTTCTGGACTTGAACAGAGAGCAGTAGTTTCTAACATTCCCCTTTGCTTCCTCTTTTAACCTTCACAGTATTGCAGTGTATGTGAATAGCACACCAAGTAGTAGAGAGACTATCCTGAGGACAAAAAAGGCTGTTTATGCCAACTCCCCTATGTCTTTTTTTCCCCAGGAACAATAGACTTTTACAGAGCTGTCTGTGGCTCTGACAACCTTCACCTGAGAAAATTCCATTGCCTTCTCCTGAGTTGTGTGAAGATGAAGAGATAGCAGACTGCTGACAAAACAAGAGAGAAGGGAGGTACACAAATATTTTCAAATCCCTCTGGGAACGGTTTGAAACTGTCCTACATAATGGGATCATGCCATTCAGTGAAATACAGAGGGTCAAGGCTAAGGATACAAAGGTACATACAGATGGTCACCACCTAGACATGTGAGATTCATTTAGATGCAATGGTGAGAAGCAGTTTCTCTCCTCTGGTGAGAAGCAGTTTCTGTCCTCTGGTACACTTTTTTTTTTCTTTAGCAGGACTAGCAATGCCATGGGTTATCATTACCAGTACCGGCGAATGCTGCAAGCTCTGATGATCCTCTTTGATGACCTGTGTTTTAAGAGCTTGCAGCAGTATGAAATGGAGGAAAATGGACAGCGGAGTTTTTTGTTCCAGGGATTTTTATAAACAGCACTTTAGTTCTCTTTTTGAATTAGGTATTTGGGGCTATTACCAGAATAATATTCAGGTGGTTCAGAATTCAGTTGCCTAAATACTGTTGTCTGATTTTACTACAGATGAGCTTGGACATCCATCATAGTCTGCAACTGGACTCTAGGAGGGCCTCGGTGTTCTATAGATTCTGTGCTGTATCTGCCAACCTTTTGTGGATGTAGATGCTTTAGGGTATCTCAAATGCCATTAGATACCAAAGAACAGTCAGCTGAGGATGTCCTTGTGTGTGCTCTTCCAACAGAGAGACACATTCCTGGAGTTATATAAAAGTAACCAAGCTCTGAACTAACAGTAATGGTTTCTGAGCATGAACTGAAGAATTATTTTTATTTTGAAGCTCCAAAAAGAAAAATGGGTAAAGGCTTTCTGAAACGTGCACACACTGTACATAGCATTCACATCAGGAGGAGATTATTTATGAAAAACTGACAAAACCTTGACAAAATCAATGCTGAGAGACACATTAGAGCTAAGACAAATCTACATTTATCATTTATCTTCAGAAGAGGAAGTCATGTAAACAGAATCCTTTATGACAGTTTGGGGAACATGGCAATACATTTTATTAAAAGTAGCTGAAATAGTCAAATAGCTATACCCTTGCAAAAGAAAGGAGGGCAGTTTATTAGAAAGTAACAACTGTCTGTTCAAGATAAGTCATCTCAAGATGTTACACAAACGGAAAAAAGAGACAACAGACTAGTAAGAAAGTACTTTTTAGGGAAGGGATAGTTGAATTCTCCTTGCAAAAGGAGACATATTTGAAATAACAATATTAATACTAGTGTATGATCTGATCAGAAACTATACCTGTGTCCATTCATTTGTCTGGGGATCATAAGACTCCACAGTATTAAGATATGTTTGACCATCATATCCTCCAACAGCATACAACTTGTCACCAAGAAGACACACTCCCACTGCATCTCTGCTAATGCTCATAGAGGCCACAGCAGTCCACATATCTGTTTTGGGATCATACCTAAAAGATAATTTGTGTTATGCTCTTAAACTGTTACCGAAATTCAACTACAACAAAAAAAATGTACTGGAATTGATGCCCTCAAGGTAGTAGAAAACAGGACAGTAGAGATCTGGGTGTTAATTTCAAAGGACTTTCCCTCCTCAATTCCTCTCCCTTTGAAACTGTTTCTTTAGTCATCTGGTAACACAGTCACTACTAGCCAAATATCTGCTTACTGCTCCTTTCCAAAGAGTCATACAGCCATATATAGCTGCTCTTACCACATTCTGTATGTCTAAACACACCATGGCACAAACTGTTCTGCTGCTACACCACAGTAGAGCAAGTGCTTGCTATAAGTACTGTATGTCAAAGCATAGGCTGATAAAATTTGTTTTGGTACTAAGATTACCATTACTAAGATTACCAATTTCAAAAACCCAAAAGTGGTATGAGAAAATTATATGGGAAACGCCAAACCCTTAAGACAATTCACAACACTTTTGATATCAGAAGTATCAGCACAGTAAACAGCAGATGGTTTAACGAAAAAATGGTGTGGTTCTAGAACATTATCAACATTCTTTACAAGTCAAATTGAGAACTACGTAGGAGACTCCATGCTATGCTTATGGCAAGGAATATATTTTAATCTGACTGAAAGAGACAATCTTTTTTAAGATTACAGATGCTTACAACAGAACTAATGTAATTACAGAACTCTGAAGGGCTCAAAAAACTGTACAAAGAAAATAATTATTTGGCTAAGATCATACTTGCTAAAAACAAGTTGAAAGACACTAGTCTTAATATTTTTTGCATGAAGAACATAGATACAAAGAGCTCTAACAATTTTATTTGCTGTCCTCTAGTCAAAGTATTACACAAATGCATGCAAGCATAACTGCAACATGAAAACACTACCTAAAGTACATATGCAAATAGAAGAGGGTGATTAGTAAGCTACATGTAGAAATTACTTTTCCAATTATTTTATATTTATAAGCGATTGTATTTATCTTGGAATAGCAACTTCTGTTGCAAAATAGAAT